AAAGAGCAAACAAACTCTCCAAGATAGATACTGGAAAAAAAAAATCTGTCCAAGAGGACCAATTTCTCTTACCAGCCCTGTTGTAAAAGATAGTGTGTCACAAAATGGTCCTGTCTTGACTTGAGCTTCACTGAGAGGAGCAACTTTGGAAATGATTATTCCCCAAGCTAAACTTTTCACTGTTGCTTTGCTGTTATTTTCATACTTTGCCTCATTTGGGTCTTTTCCTTTGCTTGTCAGCTGTAGCTGTCCCATTTAAGAGTGTGTCAAGAATCAACTGAGTGTCCTGTATTTCAGACTCGCTGCTCACATTAGGTCTTGAACTTGTTTCTCAAGAAACAATTTGTTAATATTTTGTAAGGTGGCAATTGAAAAGAAATTATTAATTCTGTAGGATCTTGTGATTTTGCACTTAAATGTACTTTTCTTTTTAAATTTTATATAAAAGCTTAAGGTCTGATGAAGCTGAGCAATAACTGTGACAGTTGGGTATGAAAAAGGAACGTGGAGAGTGTCTGAGGGAAGGTTAGTTTTTTGAAACAGAGTCTGTCCTTTAGGTGGTTAAGGAAACTGATGGCTAAGGGATGGCTACAGTGTTTATCAAATAACTTTGTTACCCCCTTGAGAAGAGAGGGTTACTACATGATGCTAACTGTGAGTCAGAAAATTGGAGAATCACGCTGTCTGTAACTAAATATTTTTAAAGTTTTTAAGGGCTTTTTTAACTGCTTTTTTTTGCCAGGTTTGTTCAAGGTCAATAAACTTAGAAAATGCTTCGGAATCTTTGAAAAGAAAAATGGCAGCATTTCTCAAGTATGTACTGATAGTAAGATATCATGAATTCATAGTTCATAAACAGTGTAATACAACATTATAAGTGTTTTGAGTACTTGAGCTGAAAAAAATGAGTCAGAAAGTTGCTTTTTTAATTTTTTTCCCTTTAATTTTTCTTATATACCTACTCAGAAATCCCTGTCTTTGGTACATCTCCCTAAATTGTTTTTGATGTTCTGTTATTTCCACCGTCAGGATTATGACCAATTGCTTTATGACTTGCAGGACTTGACAGCATTGATAGCAAAGTATGGACTGATAGTTTTGCTTTGTTTCTCCTTCCTAATGTGTTATTTTTTTCAGAAACTTGTGCTTGGGTTTGGAAGACCTTCAGCTTGTCTTCATGATTTCATCACATGAGCTGTTCATAAAACTATTGAAAGATGATGAACGGAAGCTGCTCATTGATCAAATGCGGAAGAGATCTCCTCGAATCAACCTATGTACAAAACCTGTGACTTCCTTTTATGATATACCAGGTAATTTTTACGCCATTTCCATTATTTTATATGCAGGCAGTATTTATTTTCATGCCTGAAGTTACTATGTGCAGATACGTTTTCAGAAAAGGTTTAGAGATGGTATATCCTGTATTTTGGCCATAATGCAGACTTGCATTGACCTAAGTCAGTTGTGAAAAATGCTTGTTTTTTCATAAGGGGCGGGGGGAGACTTTATGGTGCTGATTTTGAACCTAACACTTTCTGTAGCAAAGATAAGGCAACACTCAGAGCTGCTGCTCTGAGAGGAAGCAGTTCTTCAGGAACGAGGAGCTGGGAAACTGCCACAAGATGTTTCTGGGGGGCTGCAAAAGGATGTATATGTCCTGTAAAAGCATCAGTGTGTTTGCCATTCTAATGTCTTATGTTTAAAATGTAATATAAAGAATGTCCTAGAAGTCTCTCTGTTTTCCTTCTAGCTTCAGCAAGTGTCAATATTGGCCAACTTGAACATCAGCTCATATTGTCAGTAGATCCTTGGAGGATTCGCCAGATCTTAATCGAATTGCATGGAATGACTTCAGAACGCCAATTCTGGACAATTTCAAATAAGGTAACTTATTTTTTATGGTCATGACATATAGTATTTCGAGGACTGGTAGATATCACGCTGTGATAAATGTTTTCTCTCCGTGGATTTTACATGTTTTTTTTTCCTTTTTTTTTCAACCAGCTTGCCTTTTTTTTTTTCCTCCTAACGAGGAAAAACTTAATCTAAACCCACTTTCCACATGAAAGGTGTTATAACAAAATATGTAACTTTTTAAAGAAATTAATGGCTGTTACACAAGCTTTACTTCTAAGAAAAATTTGTAGCTTTTGCTTTAAATATTCTACGCAGTCTTATCCTTTAAATTTTGAATCCGTTGTTGTTAATAGCTGGGAGCAGAAGCAGAGAACAGTGTGGGGTTTTTATTGTTTTTTGTGGAGTAAGGATTTATTTTCTTTTCCAGTTATTACATGTTCAAAGTATGAATGAATTAGAGTAGTTAGACATTTTTGATGTAACTTATACATTCTAATCCGTGCATGTTAGGTGAATTCCAAAACTACGTTCTCTTGATCATATGTATTTTCCTTTCAGTGGGAGGTACCAAATGTTTATGGCAATGTTATTCTGGGAATTAAAGATAATCTGACTAGGGATTTGGTATACATCCTCATGGCAAAGGGCTTACACTGCAGTGCAATTAAGGTGAGCATGCCCTCTGAACCTACCAGTGTGTGTGTTTGGAGGTATAACAACGTGAAGTATGGAATCAAGGAGTTGGGAGGTGTAGAATATCTAATAATATAACAGCTAGGTAATATAGTAGCATGTTAATAACATGATGTAATATGACGGGTTAATATTTCTGTCTTGCAAAGTTGCATGAGTAAAATGTGGATAATGGCTTTTCAGTGCGTTGCATCTGGGTATAAATTTATTTATGTGAAGTTTGATTAGGACGTACTAAATCACATTATATCTGACATTATATAGTACATTATATCACATTATATAGTGATTTGATACATTGATATAGTTTGTTATTCTTCTGGCTAAGTGTTCCCCACATGTGATTTTTTGGAATGCTGTTTAATTTGCTTTGAAGTGTAGTTTAGCAAACGACCAACTAGTCAACTATAGGATAAAACTACCTCCACAATAGGCCTTTAGTTACTCTACATATGTTTTTTTCTTAAGTGTCTTATTTTGTTTGAGAGATCTGGAATGGGAGAATTGACTGTTAAGTCCAAAGAAGTCCAAAATATAAAAGATACTAGTGGAGCTCATAGGTGGGACTAGCAATGCTGGTGCCAAGGCAGTTCCCACCAGGATAGCACTGTACAGCATTTCAAATCTAGTTTTCTTTTCCCTTTTGAATCCGTTAGTGCATGTTTTATGTATCTTCTTTATTGCAGGATTTTGTCCATGCAAAGCAGCTTTTTGCTGCTTGCTTGGAGCTTGTGACAGAGTTTTCTCCCAAACTACGTCAAGTGATGCTGAATGAAATGCTGCTTTTGGACATCTACACTCACGAAGCTGGAGCTGGTGTTTCTGGAGAACGTCCTCCCTCTGATCTTATAAGCAGAGTGCGAGGCTATTTGGAAATGAGAGTACCTGGTAAGGACACGTGGTGTCTTTCTGAGACATAGTAAAGCAAAAAGCCTAGAAAGAATGAGAAAGCAACAACTCTGTATTCCAAATCTGCTACTTGGAGGGAAAATAGTGAAGTTTATGACATAGTTTTTGACAAGTTTTATAAGCTTGAAGTGGGAAGAGCAGCATCATGATACCCAAACGTTTCTAAACACAGTCCAGGTGCCACACTCAAATGACTTGAATAGAAAAGTGTCTACATTTTTTCGGAATGCTTTTGCTCGTTGCTAATGAAGTCCACCTAGTTTTGCACTGTGGGAATGATGTAATACTGTTGCAGTTAGAAGAAGCCTCTGTTCCTCCTAATTTATAAAAGTGGATTTTTTTCAGAGGACTAAGCATCATTTTTTTTTTTTTTGCAATAGGAGATATGGAGTAGAAATGGCTAATTAGAGGGAATCGTCTCTGCTTGTTTTCATACCATGCTGTTTTTCACAAATTAAAAAGAACACCGTTTCTTCCAGATATTCCTCTTCGACAAGTTATAGCTGAAGAATGTGTTGCCTTCTTGTTAAACTGGCGTGAAAATGAGTACTTGACGATGCAGGTTCCTCTGCCTCTGGTTCAAACTAATCCTTATGTGAAGGTAATGGGTGTTCAGTCTTAAGTCGTTAGCAATTGGGTTGTTAGTGACTCTTCCCTGTATGGACATTTGTGCTTTTTAAGACATGTACTTCTGTCTTCTTGTGCGTGTGTGTGTGTGGTGATGAGTGAAGTTAGTCTGGTAAATGAGGGCATACCAGGGCTAGGCACTGAGTATGTTTGACTCTTGACAAAAGATGGCACCTGTGTTGCAAGAACAGTTGAAGCAAACTGCATTTTGGCACTTGTTACCTGCTGATTTTGGCCTCGTAAGCATGAGGCATAAATGTGGGAAAAATTGTGAACTCTAATCTGTTCAAAACACTGTAACACTCTCCTCAGTAACTTACCCTCCTCTCACCTGGAAGTTACCTTAGGTGTGGGAGATATGAGAAGTGCAGAGACCTCAGGCTTCATGTCTGCTCTTTTTTTTTTTTTCTGATGAGACTAATATTCCAAATACATAATTTGGACTACTATAGTAGTTGCACTTTTGAACCCAATAATTGTGTTTAACTTCTGGGGAAAATATACTTCTGAAGTGCTTTCAAAATGGCTTTATAGGAATGTTGTTTTTACTTTGAAGTCAGGGATCAAGCTGAAGCAGAATGCAGATGTTTCCTGTGATGCTTCACAATTTCTATCTTGAGCTCTGCATTTTTTCTGTATAGCAGAGGATGCCAGTGCAACTGAAATTTTACTTCTAGCTCAGATTAATTATTATGTGAAAGGTCTATACCTTTAGGTACTCTAGGGATCTAGTATGTGTAAAACTAGGTTTTATGTAATATAGGTACGTAAAGCTTGTTTTTGTGGAGTCTGTAGTACAGAAACACAACATAAGAAAACTAGTACAGAGAAAAGTGCTCTGTGATTTAATCTCTGCCTTCCAGCCCCCACTGTTACCTGTTGCAAAATTTAGTTGCTCTAATGTTTAAAACTGCTTGCTCAGCTGTTTTGAAACATGTCAATAATTCCTTGCTCTAGTCAATATTCAGAGAAGCTCTGGCTTCTGTATTTCTGCTTTTGTATTGCCTAGCTGGGACAGCTGTTGGCAGCTACATGCAAAGAGCTTCCAGGTCCCAAAGAAAGTCGACGGACAGCTAAAGATCTCTGGGAAGTTGTTGTGCAGATCTGCAGCGTATCCAACCAGCACAAACGGGGAAACGATGGCAGAGTCAGTCTGATAAAGCACAGGGAGTCTACGCTAGGCATTATGTACAGGTGTGTCCTAGATTATTTCTAAAGGTGCCTGGAATTGTACGTTTGCCTCCATGTCCCCTTTGCGCACTGCCTGGATTGAGCTATTGGAGCGGCAGCGGTGGCAGCTCGAGATCTCCAAGTGAGAGAGCTGCACCCTGGCAAGGTTGGGTTTTAGTGGGGGTGCATGGCTGTTTTGTCAGAGCGAGAGGAGCGGCCTGGCCTTGCCTCACTGCCAGCATCAGACTGATAGGAGCTGCTGCTAATGCAAATTCTGGAATACGTGGTTATGTGCAACAGCTTTCCATGCCCAAAAGGGAAGAGCTGCCCTGTCAAGCCGTGCGCTGTTCTGTGCTGCTCTGGGCTCATCTGGTTAATGTGTATCGAGAGGGCAGCTGCTTTTGCTCACCCTGCTGTGGGGTGGGTGGGAGAAGGTGGGTACTTTCTTTGTGTGTCAGTTTTACACTGCTGCCAGAAAAGGGAGGCAGTCTGGGTTCACTCTAGGATGCTGAACCTCTTCTGACCCCTCAATTCAAACAGCAACAGGCAGTGGCTCTGTTCTTACTATGGAGAAGAACTAGTGAAATCTTCTCCAAACAAGCTGTGCTTGTCTGGGTTATTTGGTGGTGACAGTTTTTGCTGTGGCATCACAATGAACTTCATGTACATTATAAATGACTCTAGTGCACCCTCTTCTGTAAACCTGTGCTTGTCATTGTAAGCTTGGCTTGCACTGCAGTTGCTTTCACTGCCTTTCAGGTTTCCTGTAGTGTTTTCACTTACATACCCTGTGTTTGTAAGCTTAAAAAGCTAGTTCTAGGGATCTTTTGCCAGATGAAAAAATTGTTTTGCCGCCTGTTCTCATTTACAATAATTTAAGCCTGTGTATTTTCATCGCTGTGGCTGGTGACTTACCCATATATCTGTGTCTCTAATTTAGGAGTGAATTGCTGTCGTTTTTAAAAAAGCTGCGGGTAAGTTGCAATGGACTTCACAATATGTTCATAACTATACTCTCCAATATATTTCTTCTTCTGGACTTTTTCTATTAAATTTCAGAAAAACTAATATCTATCTGGATGTTTTGTGTGGCTGAAGCACTTCTGAATTTGTTTACCTGACATAAAGCAGCGCTTAAAAGCTTGTTTAAAATCATCCTTAATGCTGACAGTGGAGATCTGTTAATGTTAGGATTACCAAGAACGTAGCTTTTGCTAAATATACAGTTTATTAGAAAAACTTTATTCCCGTTATCATGAAGGACTGTGTTTTTGGACATTAGCAAGGTATCCCTTGTGGAGGGAGGAAGCTACTACCTGGTTCATAACTAAGACGTAAAACTGAGGAGAAAAAATGTGTGTGTGTGTGTGCGTGTGTGTGAATGCGTAGAATATATTAGTATATACTATGCTCAAGTTTAAGGTTAGGCAGTAGCAATGGAAGGAAAACAAAGATGTTCAAAACTTATATGTATATATTTTTTCCAGGCAGTTTTTCAGGGAGGTGTGAAATAAGGATTTCTTACAGAAATTTTCTCAGTGTTTCTGTGTTGTAGGCTTCCTAGCAGAATAATGCCTTATCTAGAAAGGAAATGGTATTTTAAGTACCTTGCATAGTTTTAAAACTTAAGGAAGAAAGTAAAGTTTTACGTTATTTTGTGAAAATTTTTCTTTCCTCTCTTGTAGGAACCATTGGTTTTAACTACAATATTATCCTTGTTTGTCAAGCTTCATAACGTTCGGGTTAGTATGTACCATAAACATCGTGCTTGGAATGGTTAAGTGTGCTGAGTGGGTCCTTTGTAATTTCTTCTGCTATGTTTCTTCTCTTAGGAAGACATCGTGAATGATATCGCCGCAGAGTACATTGCCATCTGGCCCTCATCCATCCCCAAGTAAGATGATAACCAATGCGGAGTGTTTACAAAATCTTTGTTGATCTAGGTGATTTGGTTGCAGTTACTCAGTGTTTCCTGCTGTGCAAGGTTGTCACTGACTCACAGGCCCATTTTCCTTCTGGGGACAGATGGGTTTGATTGCATGAACTTTTGTGCCTGATTTGATGTTTCTGAGAGATGCAGGTGCAAGAAATGGAAGGGTTTGTGTGCTTTATTGAGCTATATGTAACTATATAAACTAATTAGTATTTTAATACAGAATAACTACTAACTTTTGAGAGGTGTGTTTGAATAGCTGCCATATATTAAGTGGCATAAGGTATTGAATTGTCCTGCCTGGGTAGCACAATGTTCATTAATACTTTTAATTATTTCTGTACTCGCTAAGTTTAGGGACAGACTTTGTGAGACTAGAACTTCGCTGTTCCAGACTCTGACTGTGCAAAGTACTTGTGAGCATAAGGAGAGTGAGTGCAAAGTTTAATACCACAAATGTGCCTTAATTGGTCTGCTTGGATGGTTTTGTGGTTCCTGGTTTACATTTGCGTGTCTGTTGTGAACACAAGTAGAAGATGGTTTTCTATCTATTACCAGAATTTCTGAACAGGTGAGAGAGATGGTGTATTTAAAAGTGGACCTGCCCAAGCAGTGTGCCAGGCTGCTGCCAGCCTTTCCTTCCAAGTTAGTCACTGAGGTTTCCTGCCTGAAATGGTAGTCTCTGGCCATTCACGCAAATACTGTAATAAATTTCAGTTTCTAGTGTCTGTCCATGCTTGTTGAAACTGAGAGCATATATTCTTGAGAGAAATCCTTTAATGGTGGCTGCCACAGAAAAATTCTCTCTTTGCCCAAGTCCGTGAATGATACATTTCCCCTGTCGTATATATCATATTAAAATTTTTCAACAGGAGGCGTATAACATTAAATCTTTACTGGAGTTATGTGTCATATATAATGCGCATATTGTTTTTTAGGTATAAAATCAAATTACTCTTTCAAAAGCTCATTTAGGAATTATTTCTCTTTTTCTTCCCTCCTTTAGTCTTCAGTCAGTGGATTTCGAAGCTGTGGCTGTTACAGTAAAAGAACTAGTCAGCTATGCACTGACCATCAACTCAAACAACCACTTCTGGCTAATTATCCAGGCAGACATTTATTTTGGTAAGCAAAGCAAGCATCTGTTTTTAGCATATCTGAAGGGGCACCTTGTCTCTCTCTCAGGTTTGTGTATGCTCCTAACACTCCCTGTGTTTCCTGTACATACTATCATGCAAAGGAGCCTAAGTGGTATATGAGTTTAAAAGGTTGCTTTGGAGGCAGTAAAAGTGTAAGTGATTTTTCCCTGGGAGGAGTTTTAAGCCTAGAGATAGGCTTCTGACAGGTCGTGCAGACTTGCTTTTAGGGTAAGGGAAACTTTACAAGAAGGGTCACTATTAGCTTCACTTTTTTCAATGGGGGTGTTTGGTCCTTGATGGAAGATTTGTGCATATGTGTAGCACTGGAGTTTCTCAGCGAGTGAAGAGTTGTGCGGGTCCTACTTGCTTTTAAAAGTGGTGGCCAGCTTCACTGGCATGGATGATGAGCAGAATTTTATATAAGGAGTGTGAATGAGGAGCGTGAGCTCCTCATTCAGTGCTGGTTGGCATGGGGAGCTTTTCCTGGCCTCTGAGCCCTCACCTGCCACTTGCCCGGTGCTTATCCTGGCTCATCAGCTGGGAGCAGCCAGCAGGACCTGGCTATAAAGCAGCACCAGTTCTGGGCACCACGACCCACAGCCCAAGTGCTCCGGGTGCTCACAGGAGCTTGCAGAGCCGCTGTGATTCCCCTGCTCTGTTGAGCTTAATGCCCTGCCTGGGGGCACTGCCTGGGGCACTTGTCAGCACCCACCTCTCCCCACAGACTGTGGAGTGGGGTAGCTGGAAGCCAGCCAGGCAAGCGTGGTGCTCCCTGGTGCACGCGCTGAAGAGAGGGGTATGATCATTGCTGTGCTAAAGAGGGGGAGATGGTCACTGCAGTGCTCAAAAGTAGATGGGAATTTCTTGTGCTTAACGTCTGCTGAGAGTGTGCTAGAGGAATGTAGCATCCAAGCCAAATTGTTCCTTTCCAGCAATGTGCTGTCTCTCAGCCATCCGCCTGGGGGTACTCCAGTCTCTCAGAGGAGGAGCTGCACGTTTCCAGATCAGTGTTTGGGACTGGGAGGTTGTCTGTCTCGTGCAGTGAGATGCAGTGCAGAAATCCGGTCTTCAAAGGGAGAGATTTATTTAGAACATGGTTCTCGGAGCAGGGAAGGAGCCTGCGCAGTTGGGTGACCAGGGCCCTCCCCTCGGATATGGGAGAGTTGATTTAAGGTCATGAATTGATGGCATTGACTTGCCCAAAGTAGAACAACCTCTAGAAGGGGAAGCTAATGCCAGAAAGTGCCACAATTGGAGCACTTGTAGCATATGGTGGGAACAGGCAGACTGCTCAAACTTTGCAGAGCCCTTGACAGCTGCCTGAAATTAAAAAAAGTGATTGTTACCCAACAATATACTTATTTCCAAACACTGACTTTTTTCATTCTAGACTACCAAGGCAGGGATGATAGCTGGTAGTGATAGATGTTCTTCAGCCAAAATTAACTAAACCTACTTGAAAATACAAATCAAAACCAAACCCGAGTGACAATTTCTGTGCTTCTACTTACAAGCAGGCAGGGAAGGCGCAGTCTGAAGTGCTGGAAAGGAGAGGACTGTGCAGTCAGAATATCTCACCTCCGAAGGGGAGCTCTCTGACCGCATCACCTCAGAGCCCCAGGACAAACAGGAGCTATGTAAAGGCATCAAGCAGTGCTCCGGCTTTAGCAGGTTAATTGGCACTTAAAGGTTTTCACAACGCTACATATGTTCCAAATTCTTCATGAAATCTTGGCAGAATAACATCTAACTAAGATTTTTTTTTTAATGTGATTCTTAAAAGTCACAGCTTCACCTCTGTTGCTAATTTTCCCAAGTGTATAGCTGAGTATGACTCTTTTACCATCTCCTGTGTGTACATTTTAAAATATACAAGTCATTTTCCAAGTAGAATTTCAACTGAGAGGTGGTTGAACTAACTGTGGCCTGAATAATTCTGTAAGTGATTAGTCTGAATCCTAGAAATAACTGCTGTGCTTACTCTCAAGTCTCTGCTTTGTTTTTTTCCACTACAGCAACAAATCAGTATTCAGCAGCCCTTCACTACTACCTCCAGGCAGGAGCTGTGTGCTCAGATTTCTTTAATAAAATGGTACCACCAGATGTATACACAGACCAGGTGAGATCATCTGCCGAATGGGATTTAAGTATAAATGGAGGGGCCTGTGGGCCTGCAGACCCAGGGCCGTGTCCTCGGTGCCTTCTCTGAGGCTCTGTTTAAGAAGAATCTTTCTTTCAGATTCATTTCTGAGCATTCTGAAAGCATTTCTGCCGCAGCTGCAAGGGGAGGGAATTGTGGTAGGAAAGGGAGCAGGGAGGGTTTGTCCCCTTCTTTGC